TACGTATTCCCTGCCTTGGGGTAGGGGTTGGAACGAAACAACACCCCCCTCCCCCTTGCAGCGTCGAATGTCGTGACTGCGTCGCGGCAGACTGATCCCGCGATTCAGTTTCGTCGCTCTGTCTCTCTCGCACTTATGTATTACACACCAATTACAGCTATTACACAACAATTACAGGTAATACATAACAATTACAGCTATTTCATAACAATTACCGTCACAACAACGCCCCTTTTCTGACATTTTAAACGATTGATGTGTTACTATTACCACCTATTACACATCAATTACACTCCTATTACACCTATTACGGGGCCATTACAGGTAATACACCACATTACAGCAATTACACAGATATTACCTATTACAGGAACTATTACAGGGCTATTACATACCCTTCGACCGACTAATACCTGAGTGAATACCCCCTTGCAGCACCTTCCCCATCTTTGGACTCGCGGTCTCACCAGTCCGCTCGTGTGTCATCCACGCGCTGGCTTCCCCCAGCTCATCAGCCGACAAATCCGTTTCCAACTTTGTTGTAATTTCTCTCTCAAACATAGGTCTCAACAACATTCTGGTATTTGCTCGAACAACATAATACAGACTACCATCACCGAAGTGTCCCTTGGTACTGGACTTATCAATTCTGAAAGGAACCCTGTGATCTGGGCCCAACTTAAGACACTTTTGTCTGACTCGTATTCTGGCATCATAGTGGTCCATGAAATCGTATCCAATTAAGTTCTCAGCGACATCAGCTTCATAAACTGAGTAAGGAAACAACTTCCCATTAAGTACAATTTTCTTCACTGTAGGGCCATACAATGTTGCGTGGTGCGCTGTAGCACTCTTCATTCTTAATTTTGCTACAGGTAACTTGCTGTTGGTACGTTTGAAGACTGTAATCTGTGCTCCTGTGTCCACGATGGCTTCTGCTTTCACACCATCTATGTCACACTCAACAAAAGGAGCACACTTCTTGGATGTTTTGTTGATGCAAGATGCACATAATTTACAGTCATCCTCCTTCTGCCGTTTTTCTTCTTTTTCCACTTCAGGCTTAGCAGGTATTATCTGAACATGTGTTCGTTTCTGTGCATCGCGAACTATTTTCACATCATATGTTATATTCACTTTAACACCTTCTTTGGTTCCAGATGGTGGTACCTTGATTTGAACTTGCTGTTTCTTCGGAGCTTCAATTACCGTTGAATTAACTGGAACTTCAACGGGAGCTTTAGACAAATGAGCCTCCGATATGTCATTTGTCTGACTTAGTTTTCCTGGTTCCCGGATTGCGGAACAAAAGGAAATGAATGAGAAGAATTGCCATTGGAAGACTGTTGCTGCTGCCTCTGATTAGAACGCTGATTAGAATGTTGCTGCTGCTGGCCATTTTGGAAATGGTAGTACGCCATTGCAGCATGCAGTGCTTCAGGTGGAAAATGAGGTACGGAGTGTACTGGGTTGTAAGGATGAGATCCCTGTTGTTCATCTCGCAGGCGTTTCCTACAATCTGCCCTTATATGTCCAGGCCTCTTTCAGTAATGGCATGTTTGATTGTTGTTGCCTTGCCTTGGAATGTAACATTCAGAAGCATAATGTCCAGGCTTTCCGCAATTATGGCATACAAACGCAGGTGTGTTTTGGCTACCTCGACCTCTTCCTCCTCTTGAACCTCGTGGACGGCCTCTGCCACGTCCTCTCCCACGCCCCGGGGGATTACTGTTGGATGTTCCTGGAGCTTCTTCCACTGAATTAACTGAGGCCGTAGCTGGTGTCAAAGCCTTTAATTTCTTCATGAGTTCTGCCAACTGTGCATTGACATCCACTTCAGGTGCTGTTGCATTCTGCTCCACTTGTGCGCTGTTCACTGTAGGGTCTTTGTTTTTATTTCAACAACATCTCATAAACAAACACAGAACATAATAGTAGAGAACAAACTTAGGATTTATCATGAGTGTCAACATTTGGCAATACAAAGTCTTGTGCATTCAGCACCAATATTTGGATATTTTCACGCACTTAAGGGGGCAGTCTCGTCCCTGTACCCTTTTTTAGGGGGGTTTTCCCTCCCTCTTTTGATGACGATAATTTTTTAAATATACCTTTTAGAGACAAACGGTAAAAACCAAATGAAAGAACAGAATTTTTACAACATTTTCAAAAAAACATACTTTGTTTTGTCTTCAGTTGTAAGGGAGTTATAGGGAATGCAACAAAAGCCGACAAAACATACAAAATTTCACTGCGCGACAATTTTCTCCGGAAGTTCTTAACTCTTTGGCAATCGGTTTGCGGCATCTTGAAGATGAAAAAATCCTCTTTACTTTAACCTACGATCGTCCATGTAGCCCAAGGAAAACCTAAATTAAAACCGTTCCTAAGTTTGTATAGGTTTTTGGTTACGTTTTAAAAGGTGTAATCCTTGGGCTATATGGACGATTGTAGGTTAAAGTAAAGAGGATTTTTTCATCTTCACGATGCCGCAAACCGATTGCCAAAAAGTTGAGAACTTCCGGAGAAAATTGTCGCGCAGTGAAATTTTGTATGTTTTGTCGGCTTTTGTTGCATTCCCTATAACTCCCTTACAACTGAAGACAAAACAAAATATTTTTTTTTGAAAATGTTGTAAAAATTCTGTTCTTTCATTTGGTTTTTACCGTTTGTCTCTGAGAGGTATATCTAAAAAATCATCGTCATCGAAAGAGGGGGTGAAAACCCCCCTAAAAAGGGGTACAGGGACGAGACTGCCCCCTTAAGGGGGCTCATACATGTTAAAAGCACTTTTTTTAAAAAAATTTTGATGTAGACGGATTAAGATTTTACAATTTCTGTGTTAAAATCCTTTTAGATAATTGAGTAAGCTTCATTTTGGCTTAAGGGAAAGTGACTTTGGACATTTTTTGGAGATTTAGTCGAAACGTTAAAAATTTTGCTTCTCGTAAGATTTTGTTCGCATACTTGCTCAGATCTGTGGGGAAAAAATCAGGGAGACTCATCCCCAGTAGTGTCATAGAATTGACTAGAATGGGCTTTATATCTGCAATAGTTTTCAAGAAAAAAAATATAAAAACAATTTTTTGTTGAAAAATTTGTTTAAAAAATTGTTAAAAAAATTGTTTTTATTTTTTTTCTTGAAAACTATTGCAGATATAAAGCCCATTCTAGTCAATTCTATGACACTACTGGGGATGAGTCTCCCTGATTTTTTCCCCACAGATCTGAGCAAGTATGCGAACAAAATCTTACGAGAAGCAAAATTTTTAACGTTTCGACTAAATCTCCAAAAAATGTCCAAAGTCACTTTCCCTTAAGCCAAAATGAAGCTTACTCAATTATCTAAAAGGATTTTAACACAGAAATTGTAAAATCTAAATCCGTCTACATCAAATTTTTTTTTTAAAAAAAGTGCTTTTAACATGTATGAGCCCCCTTAAATTTAACATTGGTGTGGCTCATAATCACCAGTGAGCCTAGTTCCACAGGTACAATCGTTTCTGCCTAATGAGTTCTAGGAAGAAGAGTAATACAATGGCAATAGGAACTAATTAGCAGTATTGACACATCAGGTACGTTATAGATAATGAAGTAAATACTGATGATCATCACAGAATATATACAATGCAAGTCCTTCCAGCATCTGGGTGGGTAAACAGTGGCTAATCATAGGTCTTCTTTTCCCCGGGCCCCAGCGGTGCACTGGTAACTTTGTTCTGGACCATACGCTCTGGTCTTCAGCGCGGGGAGGGGGGTTATTAGGCAACAGTTAAGGAATTCCGTAGTGAAGTACAAATCATGTTCATGGCGCTGAAACCTCGCTCGCACTCAGCTGAACTAATTGAGAAGGTCTGAATTAGAGCCTTTAAGGGCTCGAGTGCAGCAGGTAATTGTTCATTATCATCATCAAACTCCCTAATTGCATTGACCGCTTCCGTGGCGTTAAGCCCAAAACGCGCGCAGAGGTGGCAATGGCCCGCCTGGGCCCCAAAAGTCGAGCGTATGGCCAGCGTCTGGCCAAAAATGAGCGTATGGGCGAGGAAAATGTTCTGGACCATACGCACGGCCGAAAAATTGTTCTGGGCCATACGGCGTATGGGCGCGTATGGCCTCCAGTGCACCGCTGCCGGGCCCAGCGCCTCTCCCGAGGTTGACAGGAGCTGCTCGCACCCAGGTGACGCCTTCGCCATCCAGGATTCTGAACACTGTTAAAAATAATCGTAAATTTACGACATTTTGTAGAACAATTATGTCGTTCCTAAACGACATATTTTGTTACGACTCAAGTCGTAAATATACGACCTGAGTCGTAAATGTACGACATATTTGTCGCTAATTTTTATAGCGACACGTTTCGTTTTAAAACGAATTAAGTCGTAAATTTACGACTTAATCGTAAGTTTACGAACAATCGTAAATTATCTTTGGAATATGTCGTGCAGTTATGACTTCAGTCGTACATTTACGACTCTTGTCGTAAATTTGTGTTTTGAATCGTAAATGACGACACAAATCGTAAATAAGTAAGCAAAATTGTAACTTTTCACCAACTTTTCGGGGATTTCAGGTGTCAAAATATGTAATCGTGATTACGACATTGCCGTAGAGAAATGATATTTTAGTCGTTCAGTTACGACGAAGTAGTTTAAGGACGATTTCCGTCGCTATGAAAATTAGCGACTTTTTTGTCGCTAATTTACGACAGAATTTCTAACAGTGAAGCGAGCGGCCCCGTGTCGCCGTTTTAGCGGGAGCGACTCCGGTGATTGCCGCCACGCTCATCCTCATCACTGTCACTATCATCCTCGTCGTCAAAATGCACACGCCTGCCACTATGCTTGCTAGATGAGGATGAGTTGCCACGGGAGCTCCTAGATGAGTGACGACTGCCATGGCTGCCCCTCGAAGATGAGCGGCCACTGCGCCCGCTAGCCGACGCACTCCGGCTACGACTGCTGGATCGCTTGCGAGCAGGACTGGCCGACTTGGATCTTGAGCGGGATCGCTGTTGCTTCGGGGAGACGCTCTTCTTCTTGGCAGGTGAGTTTGATTTAGAACGCCTCTTAGGACTGGCTGACTTCCCCTTGCGTTTTGGTGATTTCGGAGAGCGGGACTTGTTCCTGGAGGCCCCATCTTTCCTAGACTTCCTAGCAGGTGATCTTCCGCCCTTGCGTTTCGGCGATCGGGATGCTGAACGTGACCGCCCTCGTGGCCCAGGGGTTGACTTCCTTCTCACTGGACGACCCTTGGAATTAGCTTTAGCCGCCTTCTTAGGGGCCCCAGGCTTTTTGTCTGCTCTAGAAGCACGTTGCCTCACAGGTTCTCCATGTGCGTTTAGCCCTGAGTATGGCACAGGCGTAGGACCGTAGCCCTTATTCACAGCGGCCGTGCTAATGGGTGTCAAGTTCAGTGGAGCAAATGTGTTGTACTTCCCGTTGATAGATGCCAGCACAGTCCCACCCAATAGCATCACCCTAGGGTCTTGCAGAACTGGGCACGTGACCGTTTGATCGAGGTGGTTGAAAGTCCTAATGCTATTGGGCGCCAGGTAGCCAGTAGCCCCAATTCTGGGAGCATTGGCCATGTGGACACGGGTTGCAGCATTCACCTCAGATGTGACCACCCCAACCTGGTTGAATACTTCATGCACTTGCAGATCCGGGATATTGGCAGTTATCTGCACTAGTTTCCTCAAGGCGGTTTGAAGTGTGATGGCTGCGTGATGTAGCCACTTCCACGGCTCAATGACACGCCCTTTAACATGCTCGTAATAGGCATTAGTGCCGAGATGTACTTTCAGAGCTTCCACGAGCATTGTTACGCCCCGAGCTAATTCCAAGCTGAAGTCAGCATTCACTGGTCCTGCTGAGACGCCCCACTCCAGTGGCCTCATTACAAGGACCGCATCAGCAGCAAGCGTATTTCCTTAGTTAGGGACAGTGTTCAGGAAATGATGGCGCAGACTTAAGATGCTCACTACCTGCCCATCACCTGCACGATGATTGTTCCATATTCGGGTTGCCAAGCACCCTTTTGGAATGGAGCTGCCGGTGGTCTTTTCGACGAGTGCCTTTAGTCGTAGAAAGAAGGCAGAGCAGTGTAAGTTACTTCCATTCCCGCTCAAACCTCCAAACTCGTCACTCGCCTCTAGGTTCATTAACGAGGCAGTCAAGTCATTGGAGCGCAACAGGATAGCAGCAACATCTCTCCCAGTGAGGTTCATGCTCCTGAGTAGTGTTGATGCCATGGATGAGACCACCGCAGAAAATGTGATGAGCAGACGATCCCAATCCACATGAGGGATACCCCGCATTCGCATGATGTCGGCTGGTAGATTCTTGGGCACCATGCCTAGTATCAATTGGAAGACTGATACCTCGCCAGGTTCTGGGAGATGCAGTACATTTAATACTTCCATGGTGGGTAGTAGTGGAACAGCCCTCATTCTCACAGGGGCACCCTCAGGTGTGTAAAATCGGATGCCCAAATGAGCCTGAGGGTGGCGCGGCCACGGGGCAATCTGTCGCACAAATTGAGGCTCTTCACCTGTATAAGCCCGCACTAGATCAAATTGATTGGGGTGCTGTCCTTGCTGGTATGGTATGTTGGCATTGGCATGAGGCGCCTCAGGAGTGAGTAGCCAGGTGGCGCCAACGATCGCTGCCGCCTCACCGGCTCCAGATTGAAAGGCTTCAACTGCTCCGTGGTTAATCGCTAGCCGCGTCAAGTAGTCAAGCATGGCATTGGCGCTTGGCAATGCCTCTCCCACATCAGGCACATTCCCGTAACCATTGGTTCCAACCACAGTGGTTGGGACTGCGGGCCATTGCATCTCGTCAACTACAGTCAGCATTTCATCATCAGGGACAGCCAAGACATTCCCACCGACAGCTAATAAGGCGGCACAGGTCATGTCAGCTTGGCTCATGATGTCTCCAGGAAACCGTAGTACAACCTCCTCGTTCATACTTTGGGTCAACAATTCGGCCAACCCTTGGGCATTGATTGGCATGTTGACTACATTTAGTATGTTGTCTAGCACTCCCTGCATCTCCAGCACGATCCCTGCACGCACAGCTCGTCTTAATTGGAAGACTAGAATGTGGCCAATTACAAATAGCCCATGGAGAGTTCGGCGGTTTGTACGAAAGTTCAGCATATAGGCGTAGTTCTCCAATTTGAGGTTCCCCTCGATGGACACAAACTGCGCTCGGAACATGGTATAGCACAAAGTTCCATCATACTCTGGGACTCGGATTGCTTGAGGATTTTTAGTGGCTAGAAGTTGACCAACCAGCTGGACAAAAGGTTGGAAACCCTCTGGTAGTGTTCCACGAGTACCTTCTTCTTCTTCCTCCTCTTCCTCATCTTCATTCTCCTCTTCATCATCTTCCTCCTCTTCCCGCAGATACCCCCTGGCTCCGTGCTGCACGGTGCGTCCACGACCACGTCCACGCGTAGTCCCTCGAGAACCACGGGGACGGCCGCGACCACGACCTCGAAGGGGCTTCGTTGGCTTTTCCACGACGTCAAAGCCACGGAAATCTTCACCAGTGGGAACTATGGAGACAGTGGCTTCAGGCTTCTGAGATGGATTCTCCGCATTCTCGATGATAGATTCGCCTCCAGACGCTGACGTTGACGCGATGTTCCACGGGTTTGAACGTTGACACGACATTTTTCTGTTTTTTTCTTGTCTCTTCTTTTACCCTTATTCCTGAAACTCACCACACGCTCTCACCCGGGCGCACAGTAACCAAACCAGCTTCTTCCCCAATGGGAGCACAATTCGGCTACAGGCGTTCCTCCCTGGTATCTACTTGACTTCAAGGTGCTCAAAGATCGCAAGCTTCTTCCCTTGAGGGAGCACAGCGATCCCAGGCGTAACTCCCTTGAAACCACTACAGACTCATTCAAACACACACACACTCAAGCAGGGCGCACAGATTACTCAGGCTTCTCCACCGAAGTGAGCACAGAATAAGCAGGCGGTCTTCCCTGGTCCCCCTTAACCTCGCATACACCCCCTAACCTCGACGGACTTCCCTACACTCTGAAACAAATCCGGTAACTCCTGGATAATTTTTTTGCAAACTTTACCGACTTCAAAAACCAGTATCCTCCGTACAGTCTCAGTATTTACCGTACTTGTTTTACAAAATATTCGTAGTCTTTTCAGTATTCCGTTCTTCCGACAGTCCTGCCGTAGGAAAGACCAGATCTGGTCCCAACAAAGGCCGCTTCCAAGAAGTGTCACATCAGGATCTTGAAAAAGGGGTCGACCGACTGAAAATTTTATGCACCTTTCAATTAGGTCTCGTAAACCTTCAACGAGTGGTGAAGAGGGGTCCAGGCAGTCGACTTCAGCAGTTGCGACATCAGGAACTTGGATAAGAGGGTCAACCACGGACAGAATTTAGCAGTTTTTGACTAGTATTAAAAGTACGGGATTGCCGGAAGAAAATGTACGGGATTCCCTGTTTAAAAAAAGTACGGCTTTCCTGTCAAATAAAAGTTCTGTATTTGACTGTAAAAAAACGACTGCATTGCCCGTTAAAAAAAGTACGGTGAAGTCTGGAGTAATCAGTACAGGATTTACCGTGATCTTTTCTCGCAGTGTAACCAAGACGAACTTCCCTAACCTCTCGACCTCAGGGCACAATATACGCAGGCCTCTTCGCTTCTAAGCGGGCGCAACGCACACAGGCTTCTTCCCTTGGTCTTCCCTCCTAACCTCGTCCTTCTTTTCAGAATCACCTAATGTAGATTTTCAGATTCGTCTTCCCAAAAAGCTGAGGTACCCGAACAGAGCTACCGCACCGTGCACCGCTGTCACCACTTGTAGTGTGTGCAAGGGCTTAAGGAATGGTAGAGATGTTCAGGTATCACTGGTTTATTGTAAGACGTATCAGGGTCAACACTAGGCGACAGACTGCATGCCGGCTCTGCTGAGCGGCTGCTTTTATAGTTTGAGGGTACGTTCGTAAACCAACAGGACCGTGAGTGACCAGTTCTAGGAGTCCTTGGCAGGGAGCTCTCTAGGCCAATAGTATAGGAATGGAACGGAGTGTGTTTGGGTTAAGATGGCGGCTTGCATGCAAGTGACCAGATATGGTTAGGAATCTTTAGACTGTATTTCACAACAATCCCAAACGTTTTTTATGTGCTGATAACGAAAATCATCTCCATTTCGACTCTAGACTTGTATTTCCATCCCAAATAAGGTCATTTTGGACCAATATTTTCAAATCGAATTTTATATTGTTTCCTGCAGTAGTCTTTGGTGTGCTGAACTCAAAAATGACTTCCAAAATTTTCCCAGACTCACGCATAACCGAATTTTGACCAATTTTGGACCAAAATATTTGAATTGAGTTAGACGTTGATCCCATCAGTTTCTTGTGTGCTGATAACGAAAATCACTTCCATTTGTACCCGAAACCTACATTTCACTCAATATGAGCCCACAAACTGCACATTCTATTGCAAGTACATGCAAGTACTATTAGTGTATCTCAGTATTTTTTTAATGTATATGGTGCCCTCAGTTAACGTGTGGTTTCTCCAATCATTTTTACAAATGTATGACAACATTCCTCATGTATATGAACTACGAAGGCTAAATAAATAATAAATAATAATAATAATAATAATAATAATAATAATAATAATAATAATAATAATAATAATAATAATAATAATAATAATTTCGTCTACCTTTAGAAAAGTTCGAAGTGCCCAAACTCGCATCGCTCAGCCACACTACGCGCCCACACTAAACGGCGCGTACCCCTAGCACTAAGTGTGTACCGTCAACGGGGGTAACTTGGGACACTTTTTCACGTTTTTTGAACGCCAGAGGCAAGATTCTCAACCCAGACCATTGGATCCTAACTATGTTAAAGTTTGACCCTTTCCCCATCATTTCATACTTGTCTGGTTCATTTGCCTCGATTACATCGTTTCCAAGCGGTCTCGAAAGAGTGTCCCAAGTTACCCCATGACCGGGGGTAACTTGGGACAGTAGGTAACTAGCTACATTCCCATGCATCTTTTGATGTTAATGGATGTAATAAATTTAAGTCACAACATGTAGACCAAGAATTCAGGCCTAGGAACTCTTGTAGGACCGATATTGGACTATATCTAGGGCTCTACGTGGAACTCTCTTTTCTACTGGTATTTTCTAGGCATTTTCTGAAAATTTCAAAATATGGATTACCAGAAGACAAATCGGCAGAGCAAGGCATCCCTTTCCATCATCAGCGTAAAATCCGAAGTTTATGTTATGTCTGGAACCGGGTCAGTCAACTCCTTGGAGGCTTGAACTGCTGGAAACATGAGGAAAAGACTGTCCCAAGTTACCCCGTAAAATTTCGATTTTTGATAAAATGCAGGGTGGACCGAAGATGGGGAAACTATAATCAACGCCCTTTTGCGAACGTTATTGTCTGTGTATGATCTAACAGCCCAGAGAGACTAATCGGCCAAATCTGCATTTCACTCCTTGCACTAAGGTCAACTTGTTAAGGTTTGACATATTTTGTCAAAAACCCTATAATGTAGTTTCCCGTTTCTCAAATACTAATTGTGATGTTATGCGCCTTTTCTACCTTTCCGCGCGTGCCCTGAGGCCTCTGAAACGAAACCCTGCCGCGGGTTTGACGCTAGGAACCACCGTCGCTGAATGGCAGCACCAACAAGCTGTGCAGGGCAGACTGTCCCAAGTTACCCCCGGTGTCCCAAGTTGCCCCCGTTGACGGAATATTAAATAGACCGCTTAAGGACGGCCCCACGCACATCAACGATTTCCGG